ATTGTTTTTCAAGTACCCGTAGATTACATCTTCACGCTTCATTGTAGAAAGTAAGACGCTTCATTGTAGAAAGTAGTTTTCGGGTCTTTGACAACAAGGACATATATCCTTAATATTTTCTTTCGGCTTCAATAGCTTCATCTACGAATGTAAACATATCTAATATCAGTTTGATGTATTAACTATCTTCACTAACACTTCAACCATAAGGTTTTCGTACTTCTCTCCACCATCCACCAGTAACCCCAAAAGTCAAGAGAATATATTTAAAGTAATTACTTTCTTTCGTTTATGGTTTTTAGAAGGAAAAACAAACACCTAGATGCATATTACCTTTTATAACCTGAACGGTCAGCTGCCGTGAACGCCCTAAGATTTTCAATTATGCTTTCAGCATCCGACAGGAAGTCCAAAATGTTTTCTACAAACAACCAATAATATTGGGTTGACAGAAACAAGCAGCGAACTACATTATAGTGTGTGGTTAATTAACCAAAAGGTGAAATAAAAGTACAAGTAATTTCGTTCCACCACCGAGAGAGGCTCTCTATGCTGATATAAACATTGTAAACATATTCATATAAAAAAATTGTAACACGTATTTTGAAAATCCTAATTAGTTTTTTTTTTCTTCTTCCAGTTAACATGGTTTATGATCTTCAAATATGACAATAGATGCATAGTTACATACCCTATTCAAATAGTAATGATCAATAAGTATTAGATTTTCATGTGCGTGCTTGACTTAAAATATATATTTTTTTTTACGGTGAATCGACTATTACTTTTTCACACCATATAGTCAACAGTTTTAATAAAAGACTAGATTTTTCAAGCGCGGAAATTTTTTATGTTTAAAATTTTATATAATTAGATTTTGTCTTAATTTAAAGAATGTTTTGGTATAAATTAGTTTACCAAAATTTGTAGTGATAGTTGTTTTTCATTAGTTTTTAGTTTCATTTTTTATTTTTAGACCCGCTGAATTAGTTTGAACTGATATTACCAACAAACAAATCTCAATTAATCGAACATGTAATTTAAAACTGAAAAGATGACAAAATAATTTTCTAAAAATTTTGAAATAGTTTATTTTCTAAATAAAAAAGTAAAAAAATATAACCTGCGTTTTCAGCTTTTCGTTTTGGATTTTAGTTTTTAGATTTGGTTTTTGGTTTTGCTTTACATTTTTTTTTAAATCTGTAAATTATTTAAGAAAAATAAAACAATAAATTATTTAAAAGTTACCGTTAAAATTTATCAAGAGAGAGGGATTGTTATTTAAAATAAAAATATTAACATGTTTTAAAGTACATGATTTAAATAAGTGATTAATAATATATAATTTTGTTTTGTTGAAAATATTAAATATTTTTGGGCTAAAAAATATTAACATGTTTTAAAGTACATGATTTAAATAAGTGATTAATAATAGATAATTTTGTTTTGTTGAAAATATTAAATATTTTTAGGCCTGAAAATAGTAATTGATTTTTGATCCATTAAGGTGGAAAGTTTATTTAATGTTTTGGGATTTTTTCTTTAATACTAAGCACAAAAACCAAACAATTAAATGTCATAAAAACAAAAGTAAGCTCAAAACTCTATTCCATAAATAACCGCCAGTTTAATTTAAGTAATGCGGTTCAATCAACTATATAACTTGTATTATTTGTAACACTCTAGAAATGGTCCAAATTTAAATGACAACTTGTATCAGTAGATAAAAAGAATGACTCTATTTTAATAGAATAGATGTATAAAATAAAGGGCAAAACACACATATAAAAAGGAAAATAATAGAAGTTTTTTTTAAAAAAAAATTCTTATTATATCATAGTCAAATTATAAAAGTATTTAACACAATAAAAAAAATTCATTTTCATGAAACAAAATTGATAGTCTAGCAGGTATACAATCTTTAAATGGTACAAAAATAGGTAGCAATTTTTAAAAAAAAATTCAAATTATAAAATTTAATATATTTAAATATAAAGGTGTAAAGTTTATTAAATCTTAAATATTTATTTATATTATATTATCATTTTCTTGGCCGGCTAAACCCTAGTAATTAAATATAGATAACAAATGAGAGTGCTTAATAATTATGTTTGAGATAATATCTCAAGTGGTGATTATTTACTTGTGTTTTGTCTTGCCGACCTTGTCCACTATAAATATGGCTCAACTTTCATTTGTAAATGTAGACATAAGAAAATTCAATAATAATCAACATCACTCTCGTCAAAAGAAAAAAAAAATCAACATCACTCTTTACTCTCTCTCACACGATCACACCCACGTCCAATCTTCTCTCTAAAATTTTGTTTTCTTACATACTGATGTAATATAATTATATATTTATACATTTCTTACAAAATCTATATAATAATAATTCACTTTTAAAACTCCTAAGGCTATCCACGTCAGCAGCCGAGTGGGCTCCACACCTGTGTTATTCGGAAAAAAAAAATGTATAAGATTTTTTAACATTGAATGTTATCAACGATTGAAGATTTGACCCAGTGGTTTAAGTTGAAAGACGAGAAGTTTGTACCGCAAGTGTGCGGGTTCGAAACACAGTGCGTGCATTTTTTTTCCCATTTGGGCTTTTGGGTTTCATTTGGGCGGTAGGGTTTGGATTGGGCTTTTTAGGTCTCAACCTCATAATCTTTCTCTGCCGCGTTTCCCCTTCCAGACGACTTCACTCACGATCTACCTCCTTTATGAGCTTCAATGGTGACTTTCGAAATTCAACCGTAACCGTTCCTACTCTCAGCTTCCTTTATATAAAGGTGTTAGATGCTTGTCTTTCTTCTCTTCCTCTCATTTTTCGTCTGCGGTCTCCATATTTTATTCAGAAGCACGATCTACATGATGATTTCATCAGGTTTTCAGATCCCTGCCGGCGCCGTCGCCCCCTTCAACTCCCTCCGCCTTGGAAGAACTTCACAGAGCATTGTTGGCCGGCTCACACGTTTCTGGGATTCCCACAATGTTATCAAGAATCAGTTCATGGGCATAACCGTTCTTCTCCTTGATCAAGAGGTATGTATTTTTTCGTTTTCCATATTTTTTTTAATTAAATAAGCTACTTGAGTCTGGTGTATGATTGTTTATTTTATATTAGATGTAGAACCTGAAACGGTGTGTTATTGTTGTTGTTTTTGTGGTTTTTGTTTTGTCTAGATCTACAAGTTTTATCAAACGGCGAGAAGCTATGCATGGAATGCTGAAGACAGTTGGTTCTACCAATAAGCACCCTAAATCTATCAAGGTAAGCACCCTTTCTTTTCTCCAGTTACCATACTTGAATTTGAAGTCTCTTGATCAATTTCTTTATTGTTGTTGTTTCAAGATTTTTTGAAATAGGTGACGTGGCCTTATTGTATAAAACAAAAGACGTCGGTGCATCCAATCGCTGTCATCTCGCTGCACTACACTGTGGTGTTACTTCTGGATTTGAGGTATATAATGTTTTTTTTTTCCACAGCTCATTGTCTTAGCCATGGATGGTACTTAAAAAAAATCTTATATGTATGATTCAACTTATACATGACCTCGTCGATAGAGTCATGGAAGTAATGGGAGTCCCATTTGTATCAAACGGTGACAATACATGATACTATATAAACCCCTCCGAAGTAAGCTCTTATATTTACGAGTTACATTGTCTTTGATCAGCATTACGCAGACACTCTAAACTATTTCTTTGTTCTTATTTGCGAAAGGAACCTGAGTTCTTACCTGGTAGACAAGCCAGTATCATTTGCAAAGGGAAACATGTTGGTAATTTTGGAATCGTGCATCCTGAGGTACACTTTCTTCATCCTGTTTTTGATTATAAAAATCCGCATATCAAACGGTTTTGTTTCTGATTATTTGATTTTTGGTCCAGCTTTTGAACAACTTTGACATCACTGATCCATGCTCTTTCATGGGGATTGACATCGAAACTCTCCTTTAGAGAAAGCTTCTACTATATCTGGATATGTGCTCAACTGTTACAAAATTCTTGGTTTTATTTGTTTTAAGGATAAAGAGATGATTGGTCATACAAATCATTTAGCTTTTTCGTTTGATGGATTAAATTGTTTGCAGTTTCGCATAGACATGACTGTAAACTGGAGTTCATTTCATGAATAAACATTAAACAATGTTCTCCTCAAATCAATATGTGTGACTTCTAACCAAATGTATACCACTATGAAATTTTAACTATATAAATAGCCAATTTTTAAAAGAGCCAATTATCACCAACAACAATTAACTAAATAACTAAACATTTATAATTTTTACTAAAATTTAAAACTCAAACAACAAAATATATTTTTACTTATTTCTGACCAAAAAAAATATATATATATATATATTTACTTAATAAAAATATCAGTCACTAACCATTCCGTTATACATTCAAATCCATGTACATAAGAAATAAAATTACCTATACACAAAAAAAAAAAAAAAAAAAAATCGGATTTCTCCAGTCTTCTTATAGCAAACTAATCAAACCATATGCCTTTTAATGTTTCATAATCTCAAACACAAACATAAAACTACAGAAAACTACGTAAAGCATCGTCAACGTGTTCGGTGCCGCGCTTGCGCGGAGGGCTATGAACCTAGTGAATAATTAAGGGAAACTGTTATAAATGATGACTATTCGTCAATGGGAAAGCTGACTCATCTGCAAAAGTGTCACCCATCACTTGCTCAAATCTTCAAAGTCAAGTCACTTGACTTAATTTGTTTTATCTTTTTCTTTTCAGTAGGTGCAGCTCACTTGCTCAAATCTTCAAAGTCAAGTCAAAACAGGTAGCTGTATAAAATACAACAATCTTATCAGTCTTTCACGAGGAATGAGTGGGGAGACTAGAATAATCAAAGTCTTTCATATGCAAGGCAGTTGACTGGAGACATTTTGTGTCGTACTTAATCGTCTGCTACAAATATGGCAGCTCAAGCTGGAATAAGAAACCTAGAAGTCAAGTGAAGTTATGTCGATTGTTGTGGATTTCAATAGATTATCAAATACGTCAGCTCAAGTTGAAAATATGAATGGGAGGTCTAGTACTAGCACTCAAGATGAAAATATCTATGATAAATTGAAGGTGGCGGCTCAAGATGGGGATATTGAAAGACTATACGAGTTGATTGCCGAAGATCCGAACGTTCTAGGTCACTTTGATAAAGTGTCATTTTGTGAGACCCCACTACACATTGCAGTTGAAGCAGGGCAAACTCATTTTGCCATGGAACTAATGACCCTGAAGCCGTCACTTGCTTCAAAGCTTAACGTGTCAGGTTTCAGTGCGATGCATTTAGCTCTGCAAAACAACTACAGCCGAATGGTGAGAGGGTTTGTAGCAATTGACAACAGCTTAGTCAGCATCAAGGGAAGAGGAAGGGTTACTCCTTTGCATCACGTGGCTCGGATAGGTGATGTAGAGTTGTTGAGTGAGTTCTTGTTTGCTTGTCCTTCTTCAATAGAAGATTTGACGATTAAGTGTGAAACAGCTGTGCACGTTTCCGTGAAGAACCACCAGTTGTTGGCGTTTAAGGTTCTGTTCGGATGGCTTAAGAGAGTAAACAAAGAGGAAATCTTGGACTGGAAAGATGAAGATGGTAACACAGTCTTCCATATTGCTGCATTAATAAATCAAAATGAGGTAAAAGAATATATCTCGTTTTGTCCAAAACTCTTGTTCAGAAATCAGTGTTGTGAAGGAACCGGAAATTATGTTTTGCCCTAGTAATTTGTTCGGAGCTTGCTCTAAGGGCATCTCCAACTCAACTCCAAGTTTTATTCTAAAATAGAATAAAATGAAATATGGATCAGTAGAAAACATTACAAACCTATTCCATTTCAGAGGAAAAAAATAGAGTTAGATGCTCTAACTAACTAATATCTGAGTTTGATTTAGTTATTGCAAAAGTGTATCTGTTCCTGGGATTTGAATAGACATATAATATATATGTCTATGTCTCATATTCTTATCAATGTAGAATTCTACATCGTAAATTTATGCTTGAGATGTGCTCGATGTTTGCAGATAATGAAGTTGCTGCATAAAACCGTTAAGGTAAACGCCAAGAACTTCTATGGCAAAACCGCGTGGGACATACTCCAAACTCACCAATCTCCTTGTTTCCCTGAAGCAAGAAGACTTCTTCACAATGTGAAAGAAAGACTACTTTGTGGTTCCACTACGACTCTTGCCAGATATTTGAGCAAAAATCTATCGTCTATTGAGAAACGGAACAAATTCTTGGGGCTGGGCAACTTGAACTCAAATCGAGAGAGGTCTCTAAATACTAGCAAACGCAACGATGCGATACTCGTTGTTGCTATACTAATAGTAACAGCTACTTACCAGGCCGGATTCAGTCCTCCAGGAGGATTTTGGCAGGAAAGTTCCTCAAATCCTCACGATATTCACTCTGCTGGGCAGATGACTATGCCTTCTAATATTGCCGTATTTTTCACTGTCTTCAACGGGTTTGCGTTCTTATCATCTCTATATGTGATTATTGTCCTCATAATTGGACTCCCCATGTGGAAGTTAATTTATGGTTCAGTTGCGGCTATAAGTATAGCTATGGTAGCATCATACGTTACTATATTCCCGGATCCAGGTGGCCGTATATCAACGGTCGTCTTCGGCTATGTCTTGGCATTCCCATTGACGATAGGAACCATGCTGTTGGCTACTCTCATGGCATTCACTGTTGATAAACATTGCAGGCACCGAGTGGACTTCCCCGCGAGCTGTTTCCGCTCATATGATGCAACACATCTTCGCTTTTTCTTGTTATTTATTTCGCTTCTTTTTTTCCTTGGTGTTTTCACTTTTGTTCATATTAGTTAAAGCATTCCTTCGTTAAGGGGAGGGAGGGACGGTTGTTTTAGCCTTTAGGTACCGAGTGAATTTAAAACTCTGTGCTCTTCTTTGATTAATCGGCGTTTACATGGTATCAAAGTATTTATTCTGTCTTCAGTTATTCTTAGAACCAACGACTATTACGTTTACGATGGCCATCATCTCAGTGAGCTATCGCTATGAGCCGTGAAGCCTTCAAAATTGTTACTATGGTTCTAAAGGCATACTTTCTTTACTATCCGTGGCTTTGTCAACCTGCGTTTGAATGCATCTTTCTATTTGTATGCAGTAAGCTAATCAATAAGTTGTAAAAAACACTAAGCGATATTAGTATATTACATTTAACCACTTTTTCTCAACAAAACAAAAAAAACGCAAGCTAATATCTAGAATCTGCATCTTCCATGCAAAACAAACAAAATTTTCAATATCCAATAATCTCATTCTCATACTTATTATTACTTCTGCTCTGATAACTGAGTTCACCGGGAAAATACAAAACCCGGAATGTGTTTGTATATGTAATACCTGTTTTTTGTTTTATTGTTTGGGGGTAAAGGAACAAGAACAATTTTATTGGATGTCAAAAGAAGAGAGAAAGAGGGGTTTAGTTGTCGCCATAGATCCACTTCTCAGCGTTGTTGGTGTAAGAGACAAGTTCTTGAGGCTTGAACCACAGATTAATCTCATCTTTAGCAGTCTCTGGTCCATCACTTCCATGGATTATGTTCCTGATGCAATTTCACATTTCAATTACCAAACCAAATCTCTATAATGTCCTAATAATAGGAATATCAAAAAGGAAAAACAGAACATACCTCCCAACAACAACAGCAAGATCTCCTCGGATAGTCCCAGGCTCAGATTTCTGAGGATCGGTGGCTCCAATCAGTTTACGTCCGTATCTGATCACACCTTCTCCTTCCCATACCTACAACGAGCCAATGTTATGTTTTTATCAAATTATTCTCTGAGCTTAGTATCAAATTAGAGATAGGAGGGAGTTTGTGTATACCATGGCGATAACAGGACCAGAGCTAAGGAAGTCACACAAGCCGCTGAAGAAAGGTCTTTCCTTGAGATCATGGTAATGCTTCTGTGCGAAATCTTTGGAAGGAACAACGACCTTGATACCAACAAGCTTGAATCCCTTGCGTTCGAATCGAGAAATGATCTCTGATATCTGTTGGTTCATGAGATAATAAGATTTGGGCACTCCATATATGAATAACAAAGTACACATACACAAGATAAGACCAATTCAAGAATAACTAGAAAACCGAAAAAAAAAAAAGGATTACCAGTCCTCGCTGCACTCCATCAGGCTTGATGGCAATGAAAGTGCGTTCCATCTGATTTGGGCAGAAACGATCAGCGATCAAGAACATAAAGACAATGAAAGGAAACAGAGAAAAAGGAGATAATTATTATTACCTCAGCAGCAAAAACCTCCTGATCTTGAACCATGTAGGCTATAACAGAAACAATAAAGAGAAAACATGTGTCAATAACTTTCATCATCAACTAATAAGCTTAATCCAATTCTAATCAAAAGTAAACAATGCGTTTGGTTAAACCTGCAGCAGGAAGAGCCAAGAGTCCAGTGATCCAACTCTTGGAGGCGGCACCAGAAGCTGATGATCTTGCAAAGTTAGATGCATAGAGAGGCATCTTTCCAGATGCAGTAACCGCAGCCGCCGCACCAATCGCTCGTCCTTCTGAGAAATTAACGTATCAGAAAAACATTACATCTTGAATCCATAAGTGAGTTTATCCCTCAGATCGAACAAATCTCTGATTAGCTTCGCAAATCGATACATCTTTATGATCCATAAACGAAAAAAAGCAAAACGGTTCAATCAAATTCTGAATGAGATTGACTAATCGGACAACAGATCAAAAGTGCGATTTACGAAACATCTATAGAGATTTAACTAACTACATGGATTTCACGAAGCCTATCTTCAAATAAATCTAAGAGAGAGAATATGAAACGTACCGGAGAAGAAACGAGCATTCTTAGCAGAGGAGAGAAGAGACCTTGCTGCTTTCGAAGCAGATCTGCAGATTTGGGAGCTCATTTTTTCTTTCTTCTTTGTTCGTTGAGAGAGAGAGGAGAGAGAGTGATGAATAAAACCCGGACGGAAGTGAAACTGATGAGAGGATACCTGGGGAAATGTGAACATGATGAGATCTGTTTGGTGGATCTTATACCCACGTGGTCCGGGTCGACCAATCGGGTCAGAATCCCTACCCAACACTAACGTCGCTATAAGTGGGCACACGGGATGGCTTTTATCACGTGTTCAGAAAATTAAACTTTGTGTTGTTATCTATTACTAGGTCACTAAGTGTTTTGCCCGCACTTGCGCACATAATTCTCTTACAAATATTTATTAGCTGATGTTTCATTAATTTAAAAATTAGCATAATATATTATTATTTATATTTTGAAAATGTACAAATGAAACATCAAATAATTATCAATGACAAAACTAAAACATCAAAAATATTTATAAGAATATTTTTCAATAATTATTTTGCTTGATTTATATTTAATTATAATATTTATACAAATATTTCTACTTAATTTATATTTGATTATAATTTTATATCTTAATTTTAAATTTTATAATAGAAAAACATATTTTCAAGATAACAATATAATGGATAAGTTATTTATTTTCTAAAAATATGATATGATAAATTTGTTTTAATTATATAATAATTATATAAGATTATAGAAATTATGATATATAATTAAAATTACCTAAAATCATGGAGATTTTAATGAATCAGCAAATTCACTTCTTTAATATTTTTTTTTGCGTGATGGTTTATATTTAATTAATAATAAATAATTTTTATGTTTTACTTTTAAGTTATATAATATAAAATTATATTTTCAAGATAACAACATAATACATAAGAATTACCTTATTTTATAAAAGTATACTATTATTAGTGTAAATTTATTTCAATTATAGAATAACTATAATTTTTTATATCTTAATTTGAAATTTCTAATCGAAAAATATATTTTTAAGACAACAACTTAATACATAAGAAGTATCTTTTTTATAAAATCTGATATTACTAATATAAATTTGTTTTAAATATATAATAAATTATATATAAAATTATAGAAATTATGATAAATTATTAAAAATAACTAAAATCATGGAATATGAAAAATCTACAAACATCAAATTAACTTCTTAAATAATAGTATAGATTTTCTAATGTTAATTTTATAATAGAAAATTAGATTTTCAAAATAACAACATAATACATAAGAATTAACTTATTTTCTAAAATATCATATTATTAATATAAATTTAATATTGAAGTTTTATATATAAAATATATTTCAAGATAACAACATAATTCACAAGAATTATCTTATTTACTAAAAATATGATATATTCATATAAATTCGTTTTATTTATAAATAAATTATATATAAATATTAAAAATATGATAGATAAACAAAATTACCTAAACTTATGGAGAACATGACAACTAAGCAAATTTACTTCTTAAATAATAGTATAGATTAGGATAAGATCCGCGCCTTACGCGTGATGAAGCTATTATTTTTATTATGTTTTAGAAAATGAAACAATTAGTTCGGTTTCATTCGGATTAAAGGTGTTCAATCCGGATATCGGGTTTCGGTTTGGGTCGATTTTTTGGTATTTCGATTTTTAAAATATAACTACTATTCTAAATCTATATGTACTTCAATTTGATTTGGTTTATATATCATTGATTTTCAGTTTATTCAGTTTTATACCAAAAAAACATAATTATTTAGTTTGAGATCATATTATATATTATACAAATATATAATATGATCATATTTAGAATCATATTGTCACAGAGTCAGTTATTAAACAAAAAATATTATATATTTAAATAAAAGAATAAAAAACAAAAAGGCTTCTATCATCTAATAAAATGATCAAATCTAGAATTAATATCAAAACACTAAATTTTGAAAATAAAAATAAAAAACAAAACAGAAGCATGAAAGAAAATTTTTTATATTCTTCCATATTTAGTGTTCGTCAAACCAATATGTCTTCGATTGAACACAACTCTGTTTGTTTAAAGATAAAAAAAGTTGTAAAGAATTTCAACTAATTATTGTCCATCAAATTTATAATCTATACTTAAATTTAGTTAGGTGCTGTTTGTTTCACCATCTATCATCTCCCTCCAGCTAATCCATCTAGATGATTCTTCTAGATGGTCCATCCACATTTTTGAGATTGTTTGTTTGTCCATCAAGATGGTCTATCTAGATGGATCATATAGATGGACTCATGTTTGTTTCTCTGTTTTTCATCTCCATCTAGATGAGTTTAGTAAAAAAATTACTAAAATATCTTTGTTTTGATTTAGTCATATGTATGATATTAATTTTAAATATATTTTTATAATTTTGACGCGAAAATGCGTTTTTGCGGATTTGGGCGAATAACGGGTTTTTGCGGAAAAAGCGGGATTTTGCGGTTTTGGCGGGAAAACACATTTTTGTGGTTTTAGTTGGAAAATTCGTTTTTGCGGTTATAGCGGGGAAACACGTTTTTGCGATTTTAGCAGAAAAATGTGTTTTTGCGGGAAAATGTGTTTTTGCGGGAAAATGTGTTTTTGCGGGAAAACATGTTTTTGCGATTTTGGCAGAAAAAGGTATTTTTACGGTTTTGGCGGGAAAAACACGTTTTTGCGGTTTAAGCAAAAAAACGTGTTTTGGCGGAAAACGCGTTTTGACGAAAAAACGCGTTTTGGCGGGAAAACACGTTTTGGCGGGAAAACACGTTTTGGCGGAAAACGCGTTTTGGCAGAAAAACGCGATTTTGCGGAAGACGCGTTTTGGCGGGAAAACGCGTTTTGGCGGAAAAACGCATTTTTGCGGGAAAACGTGCTTTGTGGTTTTTACGAGAAAGCGCATTTTGGCGGAAAAATACGTTTTTACGGGAAAACGCTTTTTACGGTTTTAACGAGAAAACGCGTTTTGGCAAAAAACGGATTTTTTGCGGTTTTGGTAGGAAAACATGTGTTTGCGGTTTTGGCGGGAAAACGTAGTTTTCGGTTTCTGCGGGAAAATGCGTTTTGGTAGAAAAACGGGTTTTTGCGGTTTTGCTAGGAAAACGTATTTTTTGCTGTTTTGGTGGAAAATGCGTTTTTACGGGAAAATGCGTTTTGGCGGAAAAACAAGTTTTTGCGGTTTTGGCGGGAAACACATTTTTGCGGTTTTAGCTGGGAAAAAAACGTTTTTACGGTTTTGTCGGAAAAACATGTTTTTTCGGTTTTGGTAGGAAATCCGTTTTTGCGATTTTGGCGAGAAAACACGTTTTTGCAGTTTTGGCAGAAAAACGTGTTTTTACGGTTTTGGCGGAAAATGCGGTTTTGTCATTTGAGGAAATATGGTTTTGTCATGTAAGTTACAAAATAATAATATGTTTAGTTTTGTAATTTATGAATTATATAAAAGGGTATAATAGTCATTATATAATTTTGGAAGAACCATCTCCATCCAGATGGTTCAAATTGGTCCATCCAGATGGACTTCAAAATTAAGCCTAAAATTTCAAAATCATCCGGATGATCCATCTAAATGAGTTGTACTTTTAGTGTCTAAACAAACGAAACTCTCATCTCCATCCAGGTGAGTCATCTGGATGGTGAAACAAACAGGCCCTTACTGTTAAAAAAGCAAAAAGATCAAAATAAGAAGTCTCAGTTGTAATAAATTGTTAGTTATTTACAAATTATAATTATAGTTTAACTCATGTAACAAATAGATATTTACATGTTTCAATTTAATCGGTTATAAATCAAACCATATCCAAATCCTATGGTTTTTATAAAATCACATCCATTCGGTTTGTATGGTATATACCAAAAATAACCATATTATCGATTGTTTAATATCTTTTAAAAATATAAAATTAAAAAAAAGAATTAAGATATTTAAATCATTGATAACAAAAATTTTCAATGTGAAAAATTTAATAAGTTTATAATTTATAAATGTTCTTGAAAATTTATTGAAATTTTTGAAATTAAAATATTTATGTAATCTTATATGGTATATAGTTTAATCTATATATATATTTGTTTTATTATTGAATGATACTTTTTACTTATATGGTTTTAAAATCATGTAAAAATGTTAAACTATTGATCATTAATTTTTAACATAATAATTTTAATAGTTTTAGTTATTTATTCTCGTGTTTTTTTAAATTTAAAATATAACCTATACGAAAAAATCTAAAGTTTAATTTTATAGTTAATTTGATTCTTTAATTTATTTTAATAATATAAAATTAAAGAAAAATGATAGAGGATATATAAACTGTTATCAAATATTTAATATTAGAATCATTAATTGTCATATATATATATTAGTCATTTATGGTAATTCCGTAGGTTTTATTTATGGAAAGAAAATAAAATATTAATTATATCTAGGGAAACAATCATAAATGCTTCTATCATAAATATCATATCATATAATTTGACCAACGAATGTATCTAACGACATATAAAAATCGAATGTGGACCTACTTATTTTTCAATTGAATGTAATTGACTACATAATTGAATGACACCTAAGCATGGGGTCTTTTTTAATTATTACATAATTGAGGTTATAATTTTTCAAATGTTTCTCTTTTAATATATAAGGGATTTCCCGGACTACGTCCGGATTAATTATTTGTAAATAATTTGTTATTATAATTTAGAAAAGATATTACAATAATATTTATTAGTTTTTTGCATTTAAATGATTTTATGTTTATAACATATAAATGAATTATAAAATATTATTTATTTTTGGGAACATATATTTTAAATGATTGCAAAGATATAATAGCAAATTATGAGATTTAATAAGTCATAATACGAATTAACTATACAACTAATTGGGGTTGTTCAGATGACTCTTTTGTATCATGGAAGCCTAATGAATTGAACACCATTATATCCAGAAGCTTTCCATCAAACGGATCTCCAAGTAACGCCAAGAATCCAGAATTCAGAACCACCCAAACCTTTACCCAAATATTACCAAAGCAGCCGAGACATTTTGAAGGAAGACAACATCGGCTGCTATCAGACCCAAGGACATCCTTCAGATGCTTCAATGTGACATACCATTCTTT